CTGGAGTGCAGTGACCGTTCCTGGCCACCGCAGCCTCGACCTGCTGGGCTCCGGCGATCCTTCCGCCTCAGCCTTCCGAGTAGCCGGAATTACAGGCATGTGCCACCACACCCGGCTGATTTTTTGATTTATTGTAGAGATGAGGTCTCACCGCCCAGGCGGGTCTCGAACCCACGGGCTCAGGCAATCCACTCACCTCAGCCTCCCAAAGGCGTGGGATTACAGGCTGAGCCACCGAGCCCGGCTAAAAAAAAAGTCAGTTTCTTATGAGGCCTCTCTCCTTGGCTTGTAGATAGCCGCCTTCTCCCTGAGTCTCCACTGATCAGCCCTCTGTGTGGGTCCACGTCCTAAGCTCCTTTTCTTCAGTCATTAGGGCCCACCCCAGTGACCTTGTTTTCGCTTAATTACCTCTTTAAAGACCCTGTCCCCAAATGAGTCACATTCAGAGGTACTAGCAGTTAGGACTTCAACATCTGAGTTTGGGGGACACGATTCAGCCTTTAACCGGCCTCCCTGGGAAATCCATACCCTGAGGTTGGTGTCTCCAGAGAAGACAGCATTTAGCATTTGTCCATCAGACATAACCCCGCCACATTCTCCCATCTTGGCGTGGGCTGCTCCCTCTGCCTAGGAGACCACATTCCCTGTCCTCCCCGCCAACCCTGAGGTCTGGCTCCTGCCTTTCCCTCAAGACTCCTCTCCAGTTTGCTTCCACAAAGCCTCAGTTGTACTCTGGGTAGGTCAGGCCTCCTCTGTGTCTTGTAGCATCATCAGGGCACTGTCTCACGGACCTCAGGTGTCTTTCTTTCTTTCCCCCGCCTCTGTTGCCTAGGCAGTGACACTCCGCCAGGGCACAGATCCCCTCCTCTCCTCTGTTGCTTCCCAGTGTGCAGCACTTGCCTGGCACGCTCCAGGAAATCTTTGTCAAATGAAGGTATTGCGCCCACCTGCTGGAGCGTCACGTGGTCAGGGCAGTGTTCCTAATGCTCCCGTGACACTCACAGGACTGCAGATGGCGTTGCTGCAGGGGAGATGGGAGGGAGGGGCAGGGAGGAGGCCGACCTAATGCCTGCCCTGGAAAGGGGTGGCCATGGCAGTCATTCCTGGGTGTGAAGGGCCAAGCCAAAGAACAGTTGGCGCCAGGCACAGTTGGAGAGTGAGGCCTAAGGCGAAAGGGAGAGCTTGAATTTCTTGATAGTTAGATTGCCTGGCGGTCTCTGCACCCACTTGTCCATGGTGATGCCTGCCACCAGCTCGGGCTGTCCCCTCTGCAAGCACACAGCAGGAATGTGTTCCAAGTAGTACATCATTAGGTGGTTTTGTGGTTGTGTGAACATCATGTGTATTTACACAAACCTAGATGGTGTAGCCCACTACATATCTGGGCTGTATGGTGTGGCCCATGCCTCCTAGGCCACAAGCCTACACACCATGTAACTGTCCTAAACACTGTGGGCAGTAGAAATACAACAGCAAAGGCATGGGAAAAATATAGTCTGGTAATCTCACGGGACCCATATTTATACAGGGGCCATTGTTGACGGAATTGTCGCCATGTGGCCTGTGATTATACTAGTTGCCAACATTTACTGGGTTTTGATGAACCCAGTAGTGCCAAGCACTAGTCGAAGGGCCTTATATACAGAGTCCCTCTTTAATCCTTCCTACAGCCACAAGGAAAATACTGCCATTGTACCGGTCTCACAGATGAGATAACTGGGGCACAGAGTGGTCAAGTAACTTGCCCACAGTCACACAGAAAGTGGCAGAGCAAGGATCAAAACTCCAGGGGCCTGAGACCAGAGCCTGTGCTCTTAACCACTGGGGCAAATAAGTAAATAAATTAGAGAAGGTTACCAAGTGATAGCTGGGTTTTGGGGAGCCAATAAGTAGCACCCTCATCACACCCCAGAGTTGCGAACCAAGTGCAAGATGGGCAGGGGCCTCTGGGAGAAGGAGGGGAGATGACTGCCTGAGCGCCTGAGGGGAGAGGGGGCAGTTCAGGACTGCCCCTAGGAGTGGACAGGCCCCACCCCAGTGTTGGGCAGGCTGGGCTGCTGCCATCAGGGCCTCAGCGGGTGGGCGAGGGCCGTGTGCCCTGAGGGCAGCCCCCCAAGGGGAGGGAGGAGAGGGAGGGCCTGTGCCCAGCCTTAGTGGCTTTCAGTACAGGGCAGCTGCCGAGCATCTCAGAGGAGTGCAGATGTATTCTCCCGATAACTGGCAAGGTGAGGGCCAGGAACTCGGGCTGGAGAGGCCAGTTCCCCACAGTATTCCAAGCTGTGAAGATGATACAGCAGGCTATGGGAGGGGGTGGGCCATGTCAGCTGGAGTGGTCAGAGGAGGCAGAGAGTGTCCGCTGGGTGGGACTCAGCCTGGCACCGCCCTGCAGACACAGGGAACAGCGGGTGTAAAGGCTTGGAGGGTCGTGGATCAGCCCCCTTCGTGCTGGCAAACCCCTGTAGGCTCCCCCTACCTTGACTCGCCTGTAAACCTTCTTCACAGCTTTTTGCCATGTCCCCAAGCTGCCTGTGCTGTTTAACCCTTAAGATTAACCAGCACTATTTAGATTGTCACTTCAACCGGTCACCTGTTGTCCTTGCCTTTTTCTTTCCTCCCTCCCTCCCTCTTTTTATTCTTCCCTCCTTTCTTCCTCCTCTCTTTCTTTTATAACCTCGGCTTGTTGTAAGCAATAACACTTATAAAAGCAAGGGTCTGACCTGGGGTTACTTATTTTTCTGCATACGTTAAGATCTGTCATTGCTGGAGAAACATTTACCTCCCAGCATCTGAAATCAACCCTGTCCCACCAGGGCCCCAGGGGTCCCCCTAGAAAACTGCTCCGAGGGGAGACCCACAGGCCCCTCTGTGGCTGGTGCCACTCCCCAGCCTAGCCCTCCAGGGCTCATCTCCCACCCATCCAGCCGCAGCCCTCACCACCTCCATGCCTGGCAGCACCCTAGTGAGGACCCTCTTCTGTCTGAGCCTTGTTCTCCCATCCCCTTCGCTGTCCTTTCCTCAGCTTGGCTGAGAACTCCCAGGGGCAGCAAATGTGCTTGGCTGTGCGCTTGACCCCACACGGCCTTGGCTGTGCCCTGACTCAGTGGGCTCCGCTACCAGTTAACCCCTGCACCCCATTGACTGGGAGACTCATCCCTATTCAGAAATGTTAAAATTCAAAACTGGGCACACAGTGGCTCTCAGCAAACGCGTTTTATTGTCTGAGTTATTAGCGTCTCTAATCCCAAACTAGCAAGGACACAGAGTAGTTCCATAAATATTTGTTGAATGAATAAGTGAACAAATAATAAACAAACGTTTGGACAGCATGCCACCAGCTCTGCTTGCACTCGGTATCTTACATATAAACCATCACTTTCCTACAGGTCATAAAAGGGAAAGGAATTTGTCCGCGAAGCGGAAGGACAACGCTGAGGTCTTTGTTCCCAGCAGACCTGGGCCAAGCCTGACTCCCCAGCCCCCTGCCGTGTTTCCAGACCAGGAGAGGATGTGCTCCAGTAAGAGTTTTGGG